GACTCATACCCACCCTATCTGGTACATATTATTACTGCCACAGTAAATGGGAGGTCAATTTTCTATCTCCGTTTTTCTGAGACAGCTTACCAATCAGTGGTTTGAATTTGGTCTCACATTGAGAAAGAAATAAGGTAAATTTATCATAATTAACTAGACAGTATTTTCCAAGCTATTGCCAAGAAGTCAGAAAGGAATTTGGACTCTTGCTGAGACAAGAGTGTATTTCTTTCCAAAGACTTTCTACTTAAGTTTCAAATCATTTGAGGTCATCTTGTGATTAGCACCAGAGGACTATGTAAAACACACATTGACAGAGAGGCATATTTCCTTCTTTTGACCGCTGATTCAGAAATGCAGAGGAAAGGACGTCACTGTCTGCCTTTAGTTTTGACAGTAGTGGTGTGCGTTGCATTACAGAGTTCCAAATCAAAATTTGGGAAGGGTTTCCCTCTAGGCTCTCAAATAATCCATTACAGTTGACATACCCTTATTTCAGGGATCACCAATTATATTGTCAGCTTCCTAGGTAAAAGATATGCTAATTCATTGTGCTTTTATATTCCAACACTGGACAGGTTTAACAGAGCATCTTCACATAGCAAAGAACAAGTTTTAAGAATTATTCATGATGGTGGAAAAACAAATCTTCCACTCTGAAAAGGTTCTAATGTTATAAAATATTAAATTACTTTATATGATTTAAGCAGAAAACCTGTTTTTAATAATCACCCAAGGGATATCCTTATCTTATTATTAATTCAATGGGGGAAGCATTCAACATTTCCCCATTAACTATGATTTCAGTTGTAGCTTTTTGTAGCTATCCTTTATTAGATTAAGGATATTTCCTTCTATTGCTAATTTGCTGAGAGGTATTTTCTTTTTTATCATGAACAAACTTGGAATTTTACAAAGGGAGAGTGTGTGTATATGTGTGTGTGTGTTAAGTCACTTCAGTCGTGTCCGACTCTTTGTGACCCTCTGGACTGTAGCCCATCAGGTTCCTCTGACCATGGGATTCTCCAGTCAAGAATACTGGAGTGGGTTGTCAGGCCCTCCTCCAGGGGATCTTCCCCACCCAGGAATGGGACCTGAGTCCCTATGTCTCCTGCATTGGCAGGTGGGTTCTTTACCACTAGCACCACCTGGGAAGCCTACACACACACACACACACACACACACACACACACACACACACACATCTTAACTATAACCTTAATTATATATAACATATATATAATTATGTAATAATTATATCCATATAATATCCTCTTAATAAGTGTTAGAAAGCTCTCCAAAATGCTTAGGTTGCATTCTTCCTGGGATAACTTAACTTTTATAAATAGTTATAGTCACTATTTTATAAATAGTATAGTCACAATAGTCCCTCCCTCATAAGCTGTTAGGAGAATTATGTTAAAAGACTAGTACCATGTACAGAACTATGGATGGGGGTTCGTGACATTGTACAGGAGGCAGGGATCAAGAACATCCCCAAGAAAAAGAAATGCAAAAAAGGCAAAACGGTTGTCTAAGGAGGCCTTACAAATAGCTGTGAAAAAAAGAGAAGCAAAAAGCAAAGGAGAAAAGGAAAGATACACCCATTTGATTGCAGAGTTCCAAAGAATACCAAGGAAAGATAAGAAAGACTTCCTCAATGCAAAGAAATAGAGGAAAACAATAGAATGGGAAAGACTAGAGATCTCTTCAAGAAAATTAGAGATACTAAGGGAACATTTCATGCAAAAATGGGCTCAATAAAGGACAGAAATGATATGGACTTAACAGAAGCAGAAGATATTAAGAGGTGGCGGGAATACACAGAAGAACTATACAAAAAAGATCTTTATGATCCAGATAATCATGATGGTGTGATCATTCACCTAGAGCCAGACATCCTGGAATGCAAAGTCAAGTGGGCCTTAGGAAGCATCACTATGAACAAAGCTAGTGAAGGTGATGGAATTCCAGTTGAGCTATTTCAAATCCTAAAAGATGATGCTGTGAAAGTGCTGCACTCAATATGCCAGCAAATTTTAAAAACTCAGCAGTGGCTACAGGACTGGAAAAGGTGAGTTTTCATTCCAATCCCAAAGAAAGGCAATGCCAAAGAATGTTCAAACTACAGCACAATTGCACTTATCTCACACACTAGCAAAGTAATGCTCAAAATTCTCCAAGCTAGGCTTCAGCAATATGTGAACCATGAGCTTCCAGATGTTCAAACTGGATTTAGAAAACGCAGAGAAACCAGAGACCAAATTACCAACATCCATTGGATCATGAAAAAACAAGAGAGTTCCAGAAAAACATCTACTTCTGCTTTATTGACTATTCTAAAGCCTTTGACTGTATAGATCACAATAAACTGTGGAAAATTCTTAGAGGGAATACCAGACCACCTGATCTGCCTCCTGAGAAATCTATATACAGATCAAGAAGCAACAGTTAGAACTGGACATGGAACAATGGAACAAAAGACTGGTTTCAAATCGGGAAAGGAGTATATCAAGGCCGTATGTTGTTACCCTGCTTATTCAACTTATTCATGAGAAACGCTGGACTGGATGAAGCACAAGCTGTAATCAAGATTGCTGGGAGAAATATCAATAACCTCAGATATGCAGATGACACCCCTCTTATGGCAGAAAGCAAAGAAGAACTGAAGAGCCTCTTGATGAAAGTGAAAGAGGAGAGTGGAAAAGTTAAAACTCAACATTCAGAAAACTAAGATCAGGGCATCCGGTCCTATCACTCCATGGCAAATAGGTGGGGAAACAGTGAAAACAGTGACAGACTTTATTATTATTATTATTTTGACTCCAAAATCACTGCAGATGGTGATTACAGCCATGAAATTAAAAGACGCTTGCTCCTTGGAAGAAAAGGTATGATCCATCTAGACAGCATGTTAAAAAGCAGAGACATTACTTTGCTGTCAGGGTCCGTCTTGTCAAAGCTATGGTTTTTCCATTAGTCATGTATGGATGTGAGAGTTGGACTATAAAGAAAGTTGAGCGCCAAAGAATTGATGCTTTTGAACTGTGGTGTTGGAGGAGACTCTTGAGAGTCCCTTGGACTGCAAGGAGATCCGACCAGTTCATCCCAAGGAAATCAGTCCTAAATATTCATTGGAGGGACTGATGCTGAAGCTGAAGCTCCAATTCTTTGGCCACCTGATGCGAAGAACTGACTCATTTGAAAGACCCTGATTCTGGGAAAGATTGAAGGCAGGAGGAGATGGGGTGACAGAGGATAAGATGGTTGGATGGTATCACTGACTCAATGGACATGAATTTGAGTAAATTCCAGGAGTTGGTGATGGACAGGGAGGCCTGGCGGGCTGCAGTCCACAGGGTCACAGAGTTGGACACGACTGAGCGACTGAACTGAACTGAACTGGGCACAGGCCAAGAACTCAATGAATGTTAAGAATTATTTTCTTTATGCATTGCTAGAACTATTTTCCTAAAATTTTTATTTATGATTTGTGCATTTATGTTCATAACTAAGATGAGTCTAAATTTTTCTTTCCTATATTGTCTTTTGGTACTGATATCACTGCTAAACCTGCCTTATTTCCTTGTGGCTTAGCTGGTAAAGAATCTGCCTGCAATATGGGAGACCTGGGTACGATCTCTAGGTTGGAAGATCCCCTGGAGAAGGGAAAGGCTACCCACTCCAGTATCCTGGCCTGGAGAATTCCACAGACTGTACAGTCCTTGGCGGGGGAAAGAGTCGGACCCGACTGAGTGATTTTCACTTTCATGCCTGCCTTATAGAATTAGTTGGAGAATGTATTCCTTTTAAATTACATGAAAAAGTTTAGATAAGACTGTAATCACTCCTTGCAAATTCGTTCCAATTTGCATATAGTACTAAATGTGACAGCCTTCTTTTTTTTTTGGTGGGCTGATTTAAAAATACTGATAGAATTATTTGATATAGGGACATTCAGGTTTTCTATCTCCTTAGCTCTGAAGCACAAATCAAGACAACATTTTGCTCATGCTTTTAATCCTCTCTCCAAGAAGGACTTTCACAATTTCCTTTTCACTGGGAGAATTCAAAGAACACAAAACAGACAAACAGATCTAAGGAATTTAAATAAATGAATTTGTAGTTATATTCAATGTAAAAGTAAACAGTATAACTTATATACAATCATTAATAGTGGGAAGTAGCAAAAAACTGGCTTGGAACTAGTCTTCAGGGATAAATATTTAAGTCCATCTGACAGTGTCTTATGATTGATTTGGGCTTCCCTTGTGGTTCAGATGGTAAAGAATCACCGGCAAAGCAGGAGACCCTGGTTTGATCCCTGGATCCAAAAGATGCCCTGGAGAAGGGAATGCCTACCCACTTCAGTATTCTTGCCTGGAGAATCCCATGGACAGAGGAGCCTGGTGGGCTACAGTCCATGGGGTCACAAAGAGTCCAACACAACTAGGCAACTAACAGTCATGTCCAACTCTTTGAGACCTCATGGACCTCCAGGTTCCTCTGTCTATGGAAGTCTCCACGCAAGAATACTGGCTGCATCAGATGTACCTTTTCAATAGTGTTTTAAAAAGAAGGTAGAATGGTTCTGTTCATAAAATTTACAGATAGCAAGAACTTTGGAAGAATTGCAGATATACTGAAATGGAAGGATCATTATCAGTTAGATCTTGGCATGCCAAAGCAATGAACTGAATCTCTTAAGAAGTATAAAGGAATAAAAGCAGACATTGATATAAGGCTTGCTGCTGCTGCTGCTACTAAGTTGCTTCAGTTGTGTCTGATGCTTTGAGACCCCATGGACCGTAGCCCACCAGGCTCCTCTGTCATGGGATTCTCTAGGCAAGAATACTGGAGTGGGGTGCCATGCCCTTCTCCAGGGATCCTCCTGATTCAGGGACATAAGGCTTGCCCAGTATTAATTTACAACACTGTGAGCAACAGGTATGGACTTGGGGGTTACCTAATCCCCATCCATGTGGGTCTGCTGCAGTTTACTACGAACTCCTGCTCTGAGCGTGGCTCAGGACCCAAGTCCGGCCAGTTGAAGTACGATATCCCCCTGCAACAATGATGGATTGGTTCAGAAATTGGCATGTGGCCCATGTCAGGTCAAACAGAGATATGGAATTTCTTTTTCTTAACTGGTATTCATGATAATGTGAGCTGGAAGACAGAGAGGCCCATTACATGAAACATGAAAGTGAAACCAATCCACAGGAAGCAGAACTGAGTAATGACTTTTGGGGATCACATTTGAGTCCTGAATCAAGCCAGATGGGAATACTGATACACTAACGCATTTTTTTAGTCATGTGTGCCAGTAAGGGATTCCTCCTCCTCCTTCTCTTCCTAGTTTTAATCATAAAACTATTTATACCTGAGCTTCTGTTACTTAAAATATAACTAATTGGTAAATGGGATAATAATAGGACTTTGATTAAGGAATTCTTGTGGGGATTAAATGGCTTAATTGGTATAAAATGCTTAGTTCAGCATTTGGCATAAAGGGAGCATGAAATAAATTCTAGCCACTGTAGTTATTACTGTTATTACAATTATTATTGTTATCACTGAATGGATGACAATTGGTAGGGATTCAGGCACTTCCTGGGTAACTGAATTTTATAATTCCAGTGTTATGAAAACTCAGATCAAATCAAATAACTAACACTTTAGCATTTTCTGCAGAAGTATAAAAATGGGAGAATAAGGATTAGGATAATATAAATCAAGGAGGAAGATCTAAAGGGGAGAAAACTAAGAAATGCCAATGTTTAGCAGGGTATACATACACAGATTTGCAAAGCAGGAAACTTACTACTCAGAGACACAAAGATCCCTTCTGTTTTGCAACTCAAAGTCTGGTAGGCTTGTGTGAGTGATTGCAGTATCTTACAGACACATCAGTCCAAAAAACTAACCCTGAAATATTTAGTCTCAACCTTTCATAGGTTAAATTATCATTTATTTTATGATGGTTTGCATAGTTCTGGATCAAGTAAACTAAATCATTTGTTTATTTCAAATACTTGCAGTGAACTCAGAAAGTGTATTTTGTGTTTCAAAAGATTTCTTTGTCACTGAAAGTGCATTTCAAAAAAATTAAAAAAACAAATACATGAGCTAAGTTCTTGGCTGCTACAGAGAGACAAGTTAATGTTTTCCCCTCATAAATCAGTTACTTGCAAGTCTAACTACCATGATTTTAAAATGTGTGGCATGTATAAGTGTTTGTAATTCCTATAAAATCTGTACCAAATATGTAGCCAAGGTGATAAAAAAGCATAATTGTCTTCCTGGACTTCTGGCAAATTTAAGATCATGTATAAAGAGAAATTAGCAATTCAAGCTTGTAGCTGAAGAAAATGAGAAGTGAATAATATGTACTAGTAATATCAATAAGTCTTCAGAAGGGAGTACAGGCAGAGTGATAAAATTCCACTGTCATGACTGGGGTTTAGGCAGACTGGCATCTGGCAGACCACTAGGCTGGCCGGTCAGATGTCTGGGGCTAAGGGTGGATACTAAGAATTCTTCTTGGAAATGTCTAGTACAATGAATGTCTGGTACAATGGTCCATGGTGGGCCATAGGTATTTTGAGAACTGGAGGATTAATGTGTTACTAGCCTGACTCTTGGGTGAGTAGTTGAGCCCAGGGGAGAGAGAAAAAATTTTAGATAAAGTGGAACAACATATTTCACTGAAAACTCACTATCATACGTTGACGCTGGGAGCCAAGCAACCTTTCTCTGGCTCTCTACCAAAGTGTAATGCCAAGGAGAAAGACAGGTGTTCTTCCCCCATCCCACATCCTGCCCCATGCTACTGCAGTGGACTGAGGACTAGTAGCTTCTGAAATTTCAGGGGTAGGAGCAGCACAATGAGACAGAGGTTGCCATCCCAGGCAGTGCATATGGGGTCAAGTCCATTCCTGGGATTTTCATAGTAGCAGCCACAGAGTTTGCTGGGCTCAGAGTGGTGCACACGGACATCACCACACTCTGCTGTACCAAGAAGAGAATACTGGGGACTTTCAGAAACACTTGGTGTGGGAGCTCTTTCCAAAAAGCTGATGCTCCACTTGAGCATGTGGGGCATATGGCAGTCAAAGGTGGGCCAAGATACTCAAGGACTTTGGGCGTTTGAGGCTGGGGATATTTGAGTACATATCAAATAATACCATATATTGTTCTTTGATTCCCAAACCACACAAAAGAAAGAAGTTTCTGAGAGATCTAAAACCAAAGGAAAAACCACAAGAGAAGAGAATGCTCTGACTGGACTAACTTGATCTCTCTCATTCAAATATGAAAGCATTAACAGAGAGGTCCTGATCTGATGCTCCATGATAGTACTTAAGACAATTACAAATCAGTTCTAAATCACGTTCACATTTAAGAAGTCTTTACACATTCTCTGGGGTATTTTATTTGGCATTTATGAGCTTTTCCATCTGCCACCGAGAGCAGTGGAACACAGTCCAGTCAGTACAGACAGGTTCTGCACAGGTGGTGGCTGGACAAGATGACCAGAGGTACAGAAAAGACAATCTCCAAATGAGACCCATAGCGTTGGAAAGAAGCAGAAAGAAGGGCCTTCCCACTGGCTCAGCTGGTAAAGAATCTGCTTGCAATGCAGGGGACCCAGGTTCAATCCCTGGGTCAGGAAGATCCCCTGGAGAATGGAATGGCATACAACTCATCTAAGGTGTTTAAAGAATTCACCTACCTGGTGAAGAGACCCAGACTCACCCAATTCAAGTAACCGTACCTCCAGACTTCTAGTGGCAAAGCAGAGAATGCAATGTACCTCTCAATACTTAAGTCTCACTTCCCACAAACCATAGCTGCTTTATGAAAATACTTTAAAACGACTCCTAAAACACATCCCCAGGCTCAGCCTCTACACCATACCTTGGAGTATGCTCTTTACTATAACCTCTGTGTGATCAGCCAGGAGGTCCGCCTTGGTAATTGAAGCCAGGGACAGGTAGTTGGACATATTCCTGCACAGTTCCTTGTTGCCTCTGTGGAGGAATTTCACGGCAATGGGGATGGCTAATGCCATCACAGGGGGGCGGTTGTAATTCTGAGGAAATATAAGAAATCAGCAAATAAGTGGCTCATTCTTCATTCATTTATTCATTCAAAAAATATTTACTGAACTAAGCTTTCAGAGAACAGCTGTGAAAACACAGGGCCCACTCTATTTTCCTTGTATTTGGGAATTCATGCAACTCTTGTTCTTGTTAGAGAGACTTAGAGGCAAATAGGCACTTAACAGCATAGGCTGATGAAGGCCATGATAAGGAAAGTGGAGGGAGATAAGGAAGTAAAAAAGGAACACTTAGCCCAGTCTCAAGAGATTGTCAAGGAAGACTTCTTGGAGGAGGTGATATCTTCATTGAGACCTGCTGGATGAGTAACAGATGGCTGGGGAATAGCAAGACAAAAGAGTAGAAAAAAGTAGACAAAAGGAAAAGCGTGTGAGAAGGCAGAGAGACGGGAGGGCTTGTGCATCTGGGGAACCGTAAATAGTTCAGAATGGATGATATGGGATACAGCTGGGAAAACTGGGGTAAGAAGATGAAAGAGGGTATTTGTACCATGCTAAGGAGTTTGGAATTGATCCTTAGGATAATCGGAAATCACTGATGAGAGGAATAACTCAGGTTTATACTTGAGAAAAATCCAAGGAACGTTGAATAAGTTGCTACCTGACTGTATCTTTAAAACTAAAGTTTCAGCTAATGAAATTAAAAAGAAAAGAGATGAATGAATGTTAAGACTAAAAACTAAAGGTATTCTGGATCCTGAAATAATTATCTTTTTGATGTACTTTGTGATAAAATATCGATATCCTTACATATAAAATAGTGCTATCAGCACTCAATTACCTAATTAGTGAATAATATTTGGAAAATACAAATTGCTTTCTTGCAAATGAATGGCATGCCTTCCTTACCATTAATTATTCTGACAATCAACCCCACTCCTTAGGCTAAGTATAAAGCAAAAGTTGCACAAGTACACAATGTGTTTGACTTTACATTATTACATTAGAAATAAAAAAGTGGTAGTTTTTCTCTAACTGTTCATGTGGAAAGTGCTTCTAACTTTCTACCTGTAGATTATCCCCTTCTAATACCTCCTGCAATTCTAGGTTTATGATAGGTGTTCAATCAACATTTGTGAAGTTGAATAACTAGTGAAGAAAATACAAAACTACAGTGATAGTTGTGGTGGGAGGAAGCAAGGGTGAAGGGGTGGGAAAGGGCCTGCTGGCTCCCATCCTCTTGCTTGGGTCACCAAGGCCAGTGATGGCCTCCCAGTGACGTCCATTTTCAGGGCTAGCTGATTGGGCAGGTGAATTGTTACACACTCCTTAGCAGACAGGACTTCCTCAGACACCTCCAAGGTACTTCTCTAGTGAAGGCATTTACACCCTTAGTTTCACAGGTGGTCAAATGACTCAGGCACTGACCGATCAGAGAATCAAATTTCCAAGTGGTAAGTTCAGGGATGGACAGGTTGCCCAACTATAATGGAGGAGCTATTCAAGGGCTCTGTGAAAGAGATTCTTTCTCTCTTCTGCTGTATTCGAAATGCTGGGAATGGATCAAGAGTAGCTGGCATTTTGTGACCTCAGTAGGAGAGAATCTGTATGAGATACAAGGCAACATGGATCTGAGACAACAGAAATCTGGTGACATCATTTGAGCCCAAGTGTCAGGCTGTGCCTGAGGCCAGTTCTATCCCTAAATGTTTCTAAATGAGCTAATTAAGTCTTTTGTGCATAAGTTTTTTTTTCTTCCCAGTTCCTAGAAACAAAAATATAATAGACTTCGTAAATCCTTAATCCATTCTTGTAGTTCTACCCACTTTTTAGATTCAAGAATCAGTCTCACTCTTGAGCAGAAAAATCAGGTATTCAACAATCTAAGCTGATGTCCCACCGTGAAGTGAGCCATGATGGGATCTCTGACCCAATTCCTTGGTGACAAATCACGTGTTTATATAGCAGATCCACTCAGTAGGTCTCTGTCCTATTCTTCTGAGAGTTCCTAACATCATCTAACTATCAGAACCAGGGCCTGCAGTCAGACTTCTCTCGGACCAGGCTTTATCAAGAGTGTCTCCCCTCCCGGTAATTTGATTAGGCCTGATTAGCCTGGGCCATTCCTGGCGTGATGAGCTATGAGGGATCCCTGGGAGCCTGGCTGCTCCTTGCCCTTCAGCATTACAAGTCTGCATGTGTGCTTGGCTAGGTCTTACAGAACTGTTTGCTTCCCACTGAGGGAAACTCACACTGAGGGATTTCCAAAAGGCTGGTGCATGATCAGGTATGCCAGTTTACTCTCTCACAGGGAATCTTTCCAGGTCAGCCCTTTCACATGGCCAAGATACCAGGAGCCAGATAACTAACCAGAATGTTCACTCATGGGCAGAAGAGATGATCAGAACAAAGGAATATCTTAAGGGCCATTTCGTCTAGACCAGGTCCTGCTCTATAGCCAAATCCCCATCTCTGGTGACTGGAACTTTCTTGTCTATCAGATTCAGTTTCTACTAGCCCCACCCCTTTGACAGTGCTCGGTAAATGTGCCAAAATAACAACCCCATACTGAGCATCCTCTTTTTGTTGACACACTCTTCAGACATGTGGTGTTAGGAGAGTCCATTAATTTGTCCATTTCCTCCGTTATAATCATATTCTATGCCTGCTCCCTCGTGTGCATGCATGCTCAGTTATGTTTGACTCTTTGCAACCCTATGGACTGTCGCCCACCAGGCTCCGGCTCCCTTGCCCATGGAATTCTCCAGGCAAGAATACTGGGGTGGGTTGCTATTTCCTCCTCCAGGGGACCTTCCCAACCCAAGGATCAAATGCGTCTCCTACATTGACGGCGGATTCTTCACCACTGACCTGCTCCTCTGAGATTACATTTATTCAATACGTTAGAACACTGAGTATGTCCCAAACCCCTCTGTTTCACCTATCAACTTCTTGGGTTGCCCCAGTCTCTCCTTGGTGTATAGGTTTTTGCAAGTTTACCTTTAACATACCTTTGTCCCTGTCAAGGCTGTCAAAGCCCTAGTTTTGAGAGTGGAACACAATCACACAATCCTCAAAGTTTTCCAACAAAGAATATCTTGCTCAAGGTTATTTTATCTTCTCTGAGTCGTTAGCCAAGAACAACTTGCAGCTAGAGAAGTATATGCCTTCCATGAGAGGAAAATATCTCCAAACATATTTACCCATAACTTTCTGAGAAACCAGGATGGAGGTATTGGAAGTAGAACTCAAGTGTTTCCTACTAACTGTGAAGACAGACAAGCGTACTAAAAGATCACTGTAAAATCATATTCATAACTAATAACTAATGTTTTTAAACCTTGAGAATGAGCTAAAACTTGCCAGCAACAATGAAAGAAAAGTCTGTCTTAATCATTTTGGTCATATTTTTTTACAACAATTCTAGATGTCCTAGAGAAAAATAGTGGGCAGCTATTATAGTCTCTGAAGTGTGGTTCCAAGTAAAAATTATTAAAAATTTTTTTAATGTATAATGCCATTATTAAAAAAACAAAACTCTAACACACTCAATTTTTTTGTTTTCCTCCCACATCTGTCATCTGGAAATCCCGCAAGTGACAAGAGAAGTGAAACATTAAGCAAAGAGCAAGCAGTTCACATATACACGAAAGAATTGCCCCCAATGGCTGTCAACCTCTAAACAGCATCTAGATAGTTCCTAGTGTTTCAAGAGGTCAGGGGTACTACTGACAGCAACAGGATTTGAGTAAAAGGCTAGGAGGCCAAGATGAGACCGGGCAAGTACCACACACCCTCCTTCCAATGCCTGAGCTTTGCTCTCAAGTGAAGCAAAAGGATTTGCTAACACTTTAAGTAGATCCCAGGACCTGAAATAACTTTATCTCCAGGACTATTTGGATTCCAGGAATGCTAATAGGATACATGCAAAGAAAGCCCCTGATTCCTCATACAAACTACTTTAACAGCAATTGTTAATGCCAGAGCGTATGCTAGGTCTTGCCCTTCCATGCAGATGTGAACACAAATGGCATCGGTATCTTCTTACGGACAGTTCAATACTCAGTACTCAGGGAACAATTCAGTGAAGTACAAGGTAGAAATAAAGACTTACTCATGGGGACAGTTACAGCCAGCAACAGAAGCAAAACAAGAGGACTTCATTCTACAATTGCCAAGAGTTGTATTTCTTAACTAGATTAGCACCAATTTGAGCTCTTGGTGGAGATTTCCCTTTGGAAAATGTACTTTGGCAAGGTTTCCCAGTGTTTTAAAATTGAAAAGAATAAAGCTAAGTAAAAGAGATATATATATATAAACCTGAGGTGATAGCAACTAAAAATCTCTTTGGCTCGTAGGCCTTGAATTCAACTAAGAACCATAAATGAGTAATCTCAAGAAATATTAAATACCATATGCTAAAATGGCTATTTTATGGTTTTTCATCCCCCATCATGGATCAGATAATCTAATTAGATAATTAGATAAATTATATAATTTACATATAATATGCTTGGTTCTGAGCAGCATGACTATATATAAAACCTAAACTGCATTCACCTAAGTTTTCCTAATGTATTTTCTGACAAGCAATAAGGAAGTGGGTCTCAGGAACCTGAGGCCAGGGGTCCCAGCCTCCTCCCGCTTCATGCTGCTGTCTCGTGTGGCATTAAACGAGGAACTGGTACTGGGGCCCACTCTGGGGAGAAGCACAGCTGGTGCAAAAGTAAGAGGGCAACCAAGTCTCCTGAGCGACTCATGTGTTCATCTGTCTATTCAGCAATTCATTCAATAAATATTTTGAGCACCTATATGTGCCATTCCAAGTTCCAGGTGCTGGCCCCACATCAGTGAATCCAACTAAGCTTCTATTTTGGGCAGGGGGAGACAGGCAATAAACAATGGCTAAAATAAATAAATGACAGAGTCGATGCTATTTTAGCATCAACATTAGCATGCAGATGATGATAATGATCACAATACCAACCAAAGCTAATACTCATGGAGCACTTCCTGTGTCTTAAATTTTTTTA